CCATCCAACCTACATTTGAAGCTACCCAGCGTGTTCGAGTTAATGATGATGGCTGGTAACTTGTTCCACTCATCCACTACTCTATGTACAGCCCAGTGTTTACCTATCAAACGCCTAAATCTAAATTTATCGATTTTAAAAATATTGCTACGTGTTGGCATTTGGTTTGATAGTTTAAGTACCTTTATTATATCACTTTATTTAACCCCATCTTCCATTTATATACTTTCATGGTGATCAGAAATAAGATAATACCTCGACATGTAGCCGACACTTGTCCCTTACCTGTCACTTAACTCAATATTAATACCCATCTCCTTACCTGCTCGACACACTCAGTAAACACCTTAGTCACCCGCCTTACCTGTTGGACTTCAGCAGTGGTGGAACGGAAGAGTTCGATGTAACGCGAGCCAATGATCTCCCTGTGCTTGCCCAAGGCCTTGGTGCTGTCCTCCTCCGAGCTGAAGAGGACGAAGGCATCACCTGTGGCCCGCCCGTCAGGCTTCCTCACAAACAGCACCCCGTCCTCGCTATCCAGGATCTGGCAGCCATTTTCCCCGGACTCAAAAAACTCAACCTGATGGACATAAGGTCGAGATGAGTCAGATACAGGCAGTTATCAGGGAGAAAAGGCCTTAACAGACGAGGGGATAAAGGTGAGGCAAAGTTTCATGTTATTGTGTCATACAGGAAGAAGCGGCAGAAAGGATCAAAAGTTTTTCTCTATGGAAGTAAAGGAAGAAAATATCATCAACTGGGAATAGATAATATTAAGAGTAGAAGTGGCTCGTGTTATCCAGGTGCGAGGATTGAAGAGTGTGAAGGAGAGAGAGACTTTAGAAGAGAGAGGGAAGATGGGTTAATGTTTCATCCAAGAGGAAGGAAGGAAGGAAGGAAGGAAGGAATCTGATACACATTTGGAAGAAGATCGGAACACAAACGCATAATTACAATAATAAGTAAACAACATTATACCAACAGTGGCTCTGTAGTTCCTCGAGATCGCCGCCATGATAACTGAAAATTCAAAAGTTTATCAGAAATCCAAAAACAAATCAAACCACAAATCCTTACATGGGAGTCATCCAGCTACTGGTGGCTTCTGTCCCCGAGATATACCACGCCACTAAACCCTTCCAGCGCAAAATAATTCATCGACTGAGCCTTCTAACTCTCTGGAGTGTGTCGTCTCTTAATAGAAATACTGTAATCCCCAAACCTAATGATAGGAAGTACAACACAGCTACACTCCACAGAAGCAAGTACTGCACAAGGCCAGAACCACAGTCATCAACAACGACACGACAGAGATATGAGTTGGAAGACTTCATTGGCCCAGAGACGTATAATACACACACCAATATAGCTACTAGTCACATCAGCCAAGGTGTGATTTTAACTAAGCTGATACAAGTTAACCAGGAAGCGCTGGTATAGGCCAAATGAATGGATAATGCTGCTTGTTTCCCTACGTTTATCCTTTGTTTGAACGAGTACTTCTAAAGCTCTGATAACACCAATCTGTGCGGCTCGACTCTCATGGGTCAACACACCTAAACAGCCTCCCCCCCCACTAGATATAGATAAAGACTCGTTCAAAGGCCAGACTGTTGCTTGTGCCATGCCAGATTAGCAAACATGATGATGGCACAGATGATAACGTGTGATGGGAGAGTATAGCAGATATTTTGCTTTCTTTTGTCCATTTCTTATTGTGGGGCCGAGTGGTCTAACATCATGGTCACTCGTTGACATCCGGGAGATCCTCAACTCGACCAAGCTGTGAATGGGTACCTGGTTTTTCGCTGGAGGAAGTAACGGTTATAGTAGATTGCCGGAAACATTCTACCCTCCTTGCAAACCTTAGCTTAAGTCTTCAGTATGCTGTATCCACACCACCCCGTACTGTACCATCTAACTAGCCTATGGAATCCACTCTCAATGACAAACCAACTCGTCGTGTTATAGAGGCGATTATTCCTGCACTAAATATACACACATCTGTAACATGTCTGTACACACATCTTGACCAATGGAATCCTTGCCTCACACTCCTCCACCACCAGTCACCCACAATACCCATGGTGGGTGATGGTGGTGGTGATGGTGATGGTGGTGGTGGTGGTGGTGATGATGATGATGGTGGTGGTGATGATAATGGTGGTGGTGGTGATGGTGATAATGGTGATGGTGATAATGGTGGTGGTGGTGATGGTGATAATGGTGGTGGTGATAATGATGGTGGTGGTGATGGTGATAATGGTGGTGATGGTGATAATGATGGTGGTGGTGATGGTGATAATGGTGGTGGTGATGGTGATAATGGTGGTGGTGATGGTGATAATGGTGGTGGTGGCGGCGATGGTGATAATGGTGGTGGTGGTGTTATGGTGGTGATAATGGTGATAATGTGGTGATGGTGATAATGTGGTGATGGTGATAATGTGATGGTGGTGATAATGGTGGTGATGGTGGTGTAATGATGGTGATAAAGGTAGTGTGATAATAATTGTGATGATGATGTGATAATGATGGTAATGGTGGTGGTAGTGATGGTGACAATGGTGGTGATGGTGACAATGGTGGTGGTGATGGTGACAATGGTGGTGGTGATGGTGACAATGGTGGTGATGGTGGTGATAATGATGATAATGGTGATGATAATGATGATGTTCCCACCAACAAAAAGTGTTGGTATGGTGATGTCTCCTGATGATAGCCAGCCTCCTTATCGTTATCAGTCGGGTCACCACCACTTAAAACTGTTAGGTGAGTATGAAGGACCTTGGCTACCGGTTCTCCAGTCTACCACCCACAGCTCTATACAAACCAATAAACAAACAAACAAACAAAAACTAATCTAACCTGAGGAAACAAACTGTGGGCAGGAAGGATTTGTTTTCATTTTATCTCTTTTTTTTCAAGGATGTACAGAATAAGAGAAAGTCGACCATCCTACTAATAAAAACAACCGACAGCTACACCTCACCTACACTCACTAAAATAAGGGTTCGTTCCTGTACGCTGATGTTAGGGGTGTCGTGGATATAGTACACTGGAGATTATAGACTCGCGTAAAGGAGAGAGGAGAGCATAGCAGGCACTACACTCTACAGACTCTCACTTCCCCAGGCGCATAAAGTTAGGTAACCATTCAGTCCTACTCCTCTCTCTGTGCCTGGCGAGAGGTCAACGCAAGCTAGGGGGAGGCGGGGTGGGGGGGGGATGCATTGTACTAAGATCTGCCCGAGTTAAATAAAAAAAAATAGTGTGATTGTCAGGTGAACACAAATATAACCACAATACCACTACACTACCACCACGATAACTACCACCACCATCACAATACTATCACCATCATCACACTACTATCACCATCATCACACTACTATCACCATCATCACACTACTATCACCATCATCACAATACTATCACCACCATCACAATACTATGACAAACCACGGTCGCTACCAGCACCACTTCCTATCACTACCACCACCACCACCATCATACCACCACCATTATAATGGTAATAATGGTAATAGTGATAATTATCACCATTACCATCACCACCGTATACCGCATCAGGTGAGGGGCACAGTCCACCCACACCACGTCACACACCCCGGAAAAAACTGCACCGTAGGTTAGGTGAGGGATGATGGTGCAACACTCATGCATAGTACAACTAACTGCAAACGGTGGCTTTAGGAGCTGGATGACCCGCTGTGTGTGTGAGAGGATGACCCAATGTACAGTGTCAAGGGAAACAGACCAAATCATAACTAGGGAAGGGAGACACGGGAGGGGGGAGAGAGTAACGTGAATTAATTTCTTGTCCGAGAGGAAGGAAAAAACCCGGCCATGAACACACTGCCTCCTACAGTTCTAGATATAAATAAATATATCCACAAGTGTAAACATTTGTTATTTAGGGAGAGAAAAGTTCCTACAATGACTCGAGACAACAGACGTGAAACACCATGTCGAGGTGAAGGCCCGCTGCTCCTACCTTACACTATCTCTCAGCGATAACCCGCCATCTGGTCATCAATCTCTAGATATACCGTTATCCATTACCGCTTAACCTTACGAGAGTGACACACACACACACACACACTCACGCACGCACGCACGCACACGCACGCACACACGCACACGCACGCACGCACGCACGCACAACAACACACAAGTTGAACTTTATTGTATGTTGAACCTTACTTACTATACTCCACATTAATATACACAGACAAACAAGACATGTACACACACAAGTGAAAAAACTGTTCCTTCCTTGGTGAAATACTTACGGCGACTCCAGCGGGTTTTAAACGCTTCACTGGTCGCTTAATTAGGCAGCCATACCTCTCTTCCTTGTAGAAGCTTGCAAGAGCAAATACCACCGATCTCAAATAATAAAAGAAACCATGGACTCCTCTCTTGCAGGACAAACACCCATACAGCGACCCTCCCCCCGCCCCCCTCATCACAGGTGTAACAATCCTCAGACTCGTCAACGTTTCCTCGGACGTACAGCAGCTGGACAAAGCACACCATACAACCTCAGGTAGGGAAGACCTCGAACTCCTCACCGCCATGGGCGTGCATCAGTTCTTTTAATTTTTTATCCTTAAAAGAACATTACACACACACACCCACTTCTAGGTGCAGGAAACCGAGGACTCACCACTTGCTTGGGCGTGCAGTCGTAAGGGAGACCCCTCATCCTGATGATGACCTGACCTCCCCGAGAGAGGAAGGTCTGGGCCTCGTTGTTGCTGCCTAGGAAAGAAAACAAATCTAGTGTGAGAACAGCTCACTCAAGGAGAGCTGAACCGTTCCATACATGTGTACACAAATAATTGCAAGGTTGGTATAAATAACTGGGACTCACTGCTGGCACCAGGGCAGACATTACTAACTCCCTAACTAAATACAAGACTAGAGAATAATTTAGATTTTACTAAGAATGATAAACTTAATGACTTATTATGCAAATACATAAAATATAAAATTATTTTAATGACTCATCACAAGTAAAAACTAAAGGTATCTGGGCATTTACTTTATATGAAATATGGTAAACTTTTTGTACTCGAGTTTAGAAGATGCCTAAAATATTTTAATGAATCCTTAAGTAAAGAAACACTTTAGAACACAATGACTACAGTTCTATTAGTACTACGTTAACTTATACACTAGTCAGGTGGCCAAAATACATTCCCTTGCACTGTCTTAGAACAAAATATAGAAACAATGCTTACTTTCCCCCAGTGCTTTCTTCCCTTACAGAACACGGAGAGAAATGTTTACTTTCATTTTGTTCTCAACTACAGAAAGGAAATCCGACAAAACCCGATGAGAAAAGGTTACATTCCCTCAGGTTTCTCTCCCATGTTAATCTTGTACAGCACATGACAACGTTTGCTCTGCGTCTGGCTTCTACACGAGGTTACACAGGAACGTCACAGGGCTAACGCTGAATAAAAGTGAATGTGGGGTCCATAGGCATGACTGGCCGTTTGGGACAGTGTGGATACAAGGAGACAGCATGGCCGGTACTGCTCTCGATCGTATTCATTTCCCTAAATTGTTAAGTTAGGGACCCATTTACAGCTGGGTGAACTGGCAGTACCCGGGAATCGAAGTACCGACCCCTGGAACAGGAGGCGAGCGCTGTATCCGTTGTATCCGCTCCTAATGGTCATGGAAAACGCATTTTTATTCCTGATTATAGGGGATGTTTCTTGTTTTGTCTCATATTCCCCGAAGTGCTAAAACGTTTTCTGTTTAACGATGGTATTTAGCTCACGTGAGTGTAACTTTTCATCATTCACGAAGGTTCTTCCGCTCACAACGACTATCCTTCACCCAAGACAACGTTACATTACCCTTGACAACGAGCCGTTATCTATGACAATGCGGCCTCACCATTGACAACGAGCCGTGATCAAAGCCATCATCAGACAGCATCGAATTCTATGACCCCTAACATTCTTCATCGTTGGTATCGCTCTCAGAACATAATAAAACCTCCTCTTTAACCAAGGTTATTGACACACACACACACACACACACACTTACTTTGTTCGCCCCATGGAAACGTTCTTAACACACGGCCTACTACCTACACCTACTTCTGCTGTGCACTTGACCTCTTCCCTCCCTCCCGATGAAGCCTCTATCGTTTAGCCCGTTATCTAACTACCAAACTAACTATCGTGATAAAACATATTATTTACTATGGGCCTGATAAAAACACACACACAACCTATGTCCTCAAGTCAAAGCATCTGATTGTTATTCCTCAAAATTCAATATTATATTTTCTGAACACTATAATTTACCTTTGTATCATAAATTTCTTAAGTACCGCACCTCTGTTTTATATTTATAATCCCTTGAACTTTATGACTTTATGAAATTTCTCTTAACATTATCCCAGCGGCTTCTGATACACCGTGTTATCGTCTCTAATCAAAGGAGATAATATTACTTTTTGGTTTTCATCGCCGCCTCATCGAGATAGAATTTACCTGCCATTGGAACAATTATTTATAACACTTTTCACCGTCTAATTCATTATCTGGACAATACATCACGACAAGAACAGTATATTAACATTATACTAAGATCAACTATTCAAAACAATACGTATTTGGACTATATGTTTACAGTACACAGATAAGGGTTAGGAAAACAGCCACTACTAAATATCCAGGGTAAACACACACCCACCCACCCACACATACTGTACAAAAATTCGGAAATACAAACACTATTCAGTAATCACCTTACGACTATATAATAATTGCGTTAATATTATCATTGTGGAGTGATGTATACAGAATAGGGGGAGTTAGGTTACGATAGAATAGGATGGGTTAGATTAAGTTAAGATAGGATGGGATGGGTTAGGTTAGGTGAGGGTGTTTTAATCATCAGGTGAAATAAGCTGCGGTGCCTAATCATCACATTAAACTCACCTATCAAACACAAACACGACAACCGCACAATTGAAACTCAAGTCAACACCATCCCAATATTAAAACCACACTGGTGAATTCTCTTTAGTTTATCCTTCTGAATATTATCATCGCCTTATCTTCACTCGTTTCTTAACTCAAAGGTCAAACGTACGAGTGAAAGGCTGCAGTTCTTAGTCTCATAGGCCGGTCTAACATCCATATGTGAAATAACTTAAGTTTGTATAAAAGTCCACCTCAACGATGCCCCCTCTCCCCTTCCCTTGTTTAGCGAGTTGGAAATAACACGTGAGTAATTGAACCGCGTGTTAATTGGAGCTAAGTGAACAATATGATGACTATCGGAACATCGGTTGTGTAGATGATCGGATAACGTGGATGATGACTGGATAACGTGGGTGATGATCGGATAACGTGGATGATGATCGGATAACGTGGATGATGACCTGATAACGTGAGTGATGATTGGATAACATGGGTGATGACCTGATAACGTGGGTGATGATCGGATAACGTGGGTGATGATTGGATAACGTGGATGATGATCGGATAACGTGGATGATGATCGGATAACGTGGGTGATGATCGGATAACGTGGGTGATGATTGGATAACATGGGTGATGACCTGATAACGTGGGTGATGATCGGATAACGTGGGCGATGATTGGATAACGTGGATGATGACCGGATAACGTGGGTGATGATTGGATAACGTGGGTGATAACCGGATAACGTTGGTGATGATTGGATAACGTGGGTGATGACCGGATAACGTGGGTGATGATTGGATAACGTGGGTGATAACCGGATAACGTGGGTGATGATTGGATAACGTGGGTGAAGACCGGATAACGTTGGTGATGACCGGATAACGTTGATGTTAATGAAGGGAGGAATGGAAAGATGAATGACAGAGTAAAGTGGCACTGAAACATATTTATGAATGATAATATACACGGTTAAAGGAGATGATAGGTGAATGAGGAAGAGGGGGGAGTGAATAACGAAGATGATGAATGAGTAATTGAGGAAGGGCAAGTGAGGTTAACCCTTAAGCCCCGGGTGAGGGTGCTGCTGGCAGTACCCTCACCCGGGGCTAAATTGAGAAAAAAAATCGGCATTTCCAAAATTATTAAAACAAAAAAAAATGGCGGGAAAATAGGCAGACGTTCTGGAACTTCACCCGGGCCTAAGGGTTAAGTAAATTTAGAATAAAACAAGACAAAGAAGGGTTGAGAAAAACTTAACTATTATTGCCCCCATCCCGAGGTAGTGGTAGGAGGGAGGGAGTGAGGGAGGGACCGAGGTACAGTTCACTATCACCACCACCACGTTATCTGGCCGTCTTGTCCCCGATTACAGCACCCAGATACCTCCACTCTCACTCGGGTAGTTCACAGCACCCCTCCACCCACCCCCTCTAACCATCCCATCTCACCTCCCTCTCTCCACACCTCCACAACATACAGCTCTCTCCACACACCTCCTCAACACACAGCCTTCCACACAATCCACACCACCCCACCCACACACTTCTGTATGAACGGTCTTCAGAAACTTACCGATCAGTTTTTTCAGATAAGACACTTCACTATTCCCTCCTATTTCTATTATTACCAATACTACTACTACTACTACTTATACTATTACGATGCTACTATGACCGCGGGTACAGTTGTGAAATTTGTTCCTACTCCCCTGTGGTCACCCGTCTCCTAACGGCCAACCTATACAGTATGACCTATAGTACTGTATAACAAACCTATACACCAATCACGTCCGTCATTACACGACTAATAGCCATTCAATCATAAATAGGGACAACTGTGATGCTGGCGTTTGGAGGCACGAGTTACCACAGGGGATGTACGTCCGCAACTGTACTACTAAATGCCTAATACTTTGTAGTTCTCAAAGACCTATAGAATGTACACAGATGGAATCAGCAGTGAAAATAGTTAAGATATAACGCGAGCGCACACACGCGCGCGCACACACACGGAATGGCTATGTATAGTGCTGGTTATCTCTCTGTTCAATATACGTAACAGTAACAGTTCTCACGTGGACAAGTAACAACATTGCCGCGTCTGTATTCCATGAAGACGTTGGCCATAACTTACTGCCTATTGTTTCTACTGACAGATGGTAAACACGTTACTCCATCGCTGCTGCTGTTTTTTTTTTCATTTCCACAACTCGTACGCCCTGGATCAGAGTTTTCGAAAAGAGACATGACGCTGATGTTGGATATTTTGTCGTGAATCGGTTTTATTTATTTTATCGAACAATTCTCCTAAGACTAAGGACATGATCTTGGGCATTTGATTTAGCTACGTTACTTTAAGTTAGGTTAGGTTGGTTATTTTCTAACTTCACGGCAAAATAGCGCGTTTGTACTAATAGCTGGATGTCACGAGTACTGAGTCATGATAATATTTCGACTAAAAATAGGCAGTTAAATATGATGTATTTAAGAAATACATACTATATGAGGAAACAAATGGTCAGGCGAGGTGGCCGTACCCATGACCTGACCGGGAAGGTAGCTGGGGATACTTACGAAGAACATTCATCATGCGCATGGTCTGCTGCATGGCTGCGTGCTGCATGTTGAGGTGGATGTTCATGGACATAGTCTCAGGGGGGATGGGAGGCAGGTGTTGTCCTGCTGGTCCGCGGCCTCGCTGACTTTTCTCAGACATGACGCTCACACCACCCTCAGGCGACCTCCTCGCCGTCTGATCTCCGGCTCTTTCTTCACTACACAACGTCGTCGTGGCAGATATTTATCTCTCTCTGTATCCAGGATTCAAACACTCACAATAACCACACGGTGACTTAATACCAAACTGATGACACAATTATTAAGAGATTCTCACCAGGAATTGAGGCACGACACTCACGACCAACACACCGACGGCGACACTTGGTTACAACATGTCCCTCCCGTACAGGGGCCGCCACCACGGTCACTACCCGTCACCAGCACAGCAGAGACTTCACCAACAGTTACAAATTCCCTGATGGCCACAGGCGACAGTAGGCCCTGACGCTGCCAACTTAAGGAGATTATTAGGAAAAGTTAAAAGTTGGTGAGGCGTCAAGCAGCAGCCGCCCGCCACATCCACACTAACAAGAGCAAGTCACCAGCGCCCTGACGCTCACCAACACTCCCAGCGTTACCTGGTGCCCTTATCTCCGTCCCTATCATCCTTATCGGTGGGCACGAGGAGGAGCACTGGATTATCCGGGCTGTACCTCCAACCATTCCCCTCTACCCGACACAGTGCCCAGGAGACAACACTGTGTACCCCCCATCAAGTTTTATTACAAACTTCTCGCCATGTTAGTGTTAAGCAAGACTAACCTCAACATGTGCACCATCATAATGACCGAATGGAGATAAGGCAGTTAACAGTCACCACGACTGGCCTTATCTCACATACACAGTTCATTTGATAACTCGGTTCTGAAGTGGACGACAGTACTGCCACAAACACTAATATTCCAATTAATAAGTTTATAATCTACACTTTATAAACCCCACCGAAGGATTCTCGTGAGACAAAAAAATAAAAATCAATATAAAATTGAGTTTCACCAAAATAAATCATCGTGGTAAGCAAATATATAAAATTATAAGAAAGTGATCTGTCAACGCCTTGAGATCCTCGTCTACGTGTCCAGTGATAATTGTGGATTTGTCGCAACAATGTTCGTATCTGGTGAACAAATGACATTCACTGACGACTCATTACATAGTTGGGTACACACACCTTTACATGAGTGTGCAGGTGATGTGTCCCATAATGACCGTGGCACCTTGCAACAAAACCATGTAACTTCCTCAGATTTAAATTAAACCGTCAATATTATATAACACATCTACACTACTCCGCATGATACTCTTGTGCAAATGTAACGATATTTACTTTTCATTAGCGACTGTAACTATGAAATTTTCTTCCACTAGTTTTGAATTAAACAAATACACACAAAAAAATTCCTGGGGTTATCCAGAAAGTAGTCATAAAAAAGAAAACGGATGAGCAACAAACATTATACATAGAAAACCAACCATAGCATTTCAAGGGGGGTCTTCTCAAGGTCTACGATGTCGTGGAGAACACACAACTTCCTATTTGTGCTAAGTAGCACTAGAGTATTATACATGCATTCGAATTAAAATGATTGAACTGAAATGATTTTCATACGAGTTTTATCTTAATTATTAACGAAGGAATAAAATCAAATAGTAAAGATAATTTGATCCCCTGCCATAGAAAGACTATCCCTAAGATATTATCATAACTAAAAAAAATAATATATATATATTGATTTCGCCCCTCGTCCCAATTCTGTACCGATTATTGATCAAAACGCGGATGAAAATCTTGATATACAGGGTTGACGCTTTCGTCCAAATTACACACATACAACGTTACTAAATATCCACATACTTTTGGGTAACATTCACAAGGTTGAGTTCACTGTAACCCGTTTTTATTTCAATAATTTTGCTGAATATTTCTTGTGTTCACAGGTCGGCCGCACACTAGCACACCCGAACAGCATTTCCAGGACCTCGAGCTACGCGGCGGGTGGTTCACTAATTAGATTTCACTTGTAAAAAACGAGATCCACAACATGTCCTGGCTGTGGACGCCATCAAGGTCACCAGAACGAAAAATAAAATAAAATAAAAATAAACGGGAGCGAGAATTTGGCCACCTGTCTATCTTATTATAACTACATATGTAAGGCTCTGATCTACACTACCTCTAAAATAACCTATTACAATAAGTCTGTCTCTGGTGCCCGGGTCACGTCCCAGCTGTCCAGGTCCAAAATTCTCAGAGATCCTCACATTAAAATATTCCCCCTTAACTGAAAGACATGACAACGTATGTTAACTGCCTCACTAGAGATTCGATACAACTTTGGCAGTCAAATACCGACAAAATTAAACCGAAACTCTTCCATAACTGGTGTTCTGACTCACGTTACGGTCAAACACAATCAACAAACACTTGAGAATCCTTAGGTTTGTATCCTCAAATATTCGTACGATATTTGTCCTTCCATAACTGGTGATTTGAGAACATTGAGGACTGTGTGACTTGATATACAACAAGATAAACAAAATGCCATCAAATCACACAGTCTCTCTCTACAGTAAGTGATGGAATCCTCTCAGGTCTCTCATCTACGATGTACAGAGACTAAGGCGACACGTTCCACCATCTCTTCCAGTTAAAGGGGGGAAGGGAGGGGGGGATTTTAACGGAGGAATCTGACTGAGAATGAGGACCCTGGCCTGAGTGGACAGAGGCCCGACGTACTCACCGCCGGCGACGTTGATGAAGTCCTCGCCGGTGGCCTTGTAGACCTCGATGTAGCGGTTGCCAATGTGGTGTTTGTGACGCTTGAGAGCCATGTCGCGGTGTTCCGGCGAGATGAAGCGGATCAGCGCCTCCCCGTTTCGACGACCCTGAGGACTCAAGCACAGCGCCACACCACCTCTGTAAATCACAACACACAGCATTAAAATATATAGAGCAACCCACGTCAGTATTATTATTATTATTGACTTTTTAACTGTCTAAATATCCTGTTTTTTCATTTTAATATAGCCGGGAAGAAAAACTGGAGGGAGGGTGAGAGGTGAGGGAGGGTGAGAGGTGAGGGAGGGTGAGGGAGGAGGGTGAAGAGAGTTAAAACAAAATGCACAAAGAGAAATATTACCCCCCAAGAAAATCAATAATAGTTCCCCACCATCACATTCATAAGAGTGTCGTAATTCTCACCATCAACATGTATTAGAGACCTTGTATATCCTGTTGGGTTTGTTTACGAAAGATAATAACACAACAATGAGAGAAAATGGGATGGTGTATGGGAAAAATAAACAAAGGTAAAACATAAACAAGAAATATCACACGTGGGGGAGGGAAACATTCATGGTAAATATAAGTAATACAATACACAGGTAAAATATACACCAGGTTACACAATACACAGGGGAAATACAACAATACATAATAAACATGATAAGAGTATACAGGTGAGGGAAACTACTGAGGAAAATGAGGTCAGTGAGGAAAACAAAATGAATAAAACATGATTGAAAAGGTGTTTGGTTATATTAAATGAGTTACAGTATTGTGAGAAACTACCCATCCGAAGGGGGTTAAGTACGAGGTCATAACAGGTTGAGTTGAGGTGACCTGGTATGGTTTGGGGGTGTGGTGGGGAGGGATGAGGAGGATGAGGGAAGGGGGAAGAGGGTGATGAGGAGGGTGATGAGGAGGGGGGGTGATGGGAGTGAGGAGGTGATGAGGAGGTGAGGGAGGGTGATGAGGAGGTGATGGGAGATGAGGGGGGTGATGAGAGAGGGGGTGGAGGGTGATGAGGAGGGGTGATGAGGAGGGTGATGAGGAGGGGGTGATGAGGGAGGGGATGGGGAAGGGGATGAGGAAGGGGATGAGGGAAGGAGAAGGGGGAAGGGATGAGGAGGAAGTGGGGAAGTGGAGGAAGAGAAGGAAACTGGGGAAAGCGGTGGGAAAAGGGCGGGAGAGGGGGAAGGGGGAAGAGAGTGGGAAGGGGGGGAAGTAGAGGGGGGAATCAATCACTTAGTGTGTAAAAAGACTCTGCTGTGCTGTGTCAGGTAGAAACAACTTCCCAGCATACCTGGATTTTATACATAAGTTGTTCACTGTTGGCATTTCTATAAACACTTTCTTTACACACACACACACACACACACACACACACACACACACGTACGTTCCCAAAACTCCTAATATGATTCCTTAGAAATAACTAAACATAAAAAAAATATCACAGCACAATGGCCGAGTCTGAGAAACGGCCGATGAAGTTTTATGTCATATTTTGCGTTTATAACAGCAGTCGCCACGGCCATCCACCAGCCTAAGGTAATCTGGGGGGGGGGCCAAGACTTTTCTTTGGTACGGTGGTCGCCTTAGTGATTAAATTTGTCTCATCACTCCTTCTAACCTTTAATCAACACCAGCACCAACCCCCTCACCCACCCCGACACACACACACTGTATGGACAACCTGGGGACATATACACACATTATGGACGTAGTGAATGATTGGAGGAAAAAACTTATGTGACAATGAGACATGCAGAAATAGACAGACAGACAGTTCGAGTGCCTGGCTGTCTACCCTTCCTACCTTAACAATGATGACCGCGAGTGAGTTGCGGGCGGCCCTACTGGCTTGTTGACAAAACATGTACGGTCACGCGGACTCCGTGCCGCAGGCGGCTCTTGTTGATGCAGAAGCAGCACGCACCACCCACCCCCCCCTCTCCCTCACTCTTACCTGGCTCACTCTGTACACCTCCCTCTCTCCCTCCCTCACTCTTACCATCTTCACACTGCGCACTTCACTCCCTCATCCTACCTGGTTCACTCTGTACACCTACCTACCTTCCTTCCTTCCTTCCTTCCTACCTCCCTCCTCTTACCTGGTTCACGCTGTACATCCCCCTCCTACACACACGCTTACAACCGTCCATAGAAAAACAACAACAGGTTCACGCTGACGAATCACAGGTGCTGACTACTTCCGTGACGTGTGCCCGAGGCCAATCAGGAAATTCTGAATTGACCAAACAATCACGATATTCCGAATTGATCATGCAACTAATCACAGCATACAGCCAATCGCAACATTCTGAACACAATATACACTATGCAACAGTCACACACCTACTCTGGTCAGATAGTCAGCCAATGCCAGTATCCTCCCCCTGTCCCTCACTCTCACTCCCAGACGAAACTGATAACCCTCCAAACTTTCACTCTCCGCGACAAACGTGACTCACCGTGACCTGACAGCGGTGTCAACGTGATGCCCCCGACACACACATTACTGTATTGTCGCCCTGATTTTTTTTTTATGAGTCTCTGGACACGCTTGACATTTTTTTTTTTATATGTTCGATTAACCCTTTTGTGGACGATGGTTTGACTAATCGGGGCACGAACTCTGCCTCCTGGGGTCATATTTCCGAACTATGAAATCTTTCCACCTTCGTATTGTCATTTCACTGCGATTTGTTTCGTTGTTGTTACTGAGACAATCACACAACAGTGCCATAGA